TCCCTAAGAAGAAGATAATACTGATTGCAGAATAGATTCAACACAATGTTCCCGCTACGAACGTCACAGACCTTCTTATAATTTATTTTCACCTTTGACCTTTGTATCAACCTGAAATATCTGGCTTTTGACTTCTTATGAGTGTTTTATTTGTATAAGTCTACATGTAATCTTACATTATTGTCGCTGCTGAATTCCAGTCTGTTTTTCGGTCCACATTTACTTGTACTGACTCTACCTATTTCAGTGATAGTTAGTGTTGGGGTAAATTACCGTGCATTACTCACCAACTGTCTGTGATTTTCAGGAATAATTAGTATTTGGGTAAAAAAGGTCCATGTTGTTTTGTGGTATTTTCGCAAAAAGTGCTTACATATTTATTGCACATGATTGATTAGTCAGTTCTGGGCAGATCTTCGTCAGAATTTCCAGAATGCTTAGGTTTAAGACGTAATTAAGGGAGATAACCACGTAAACATTATTTTCACAACGGAGAAAATAATATAATGGTATGAAATATAATGCACTACTTTAGAAATCAACATATTATCACATCGGATCATAACCAAACTCATTGTACTTGTACTTTGGTGTAATTATGTACTTTTTATTAGCTAACTATTGTTGTAAGTGACGAATTAAGACAGCCTAAAACTGCGGTTTTCGCTATCAGGATGCGCTACAATTACGATTACGATGACATGTGTGGAGGTCTGCGATACGATTTTTTCTAAAATACGAAATAACGTATAGTACTCATTCGTAGGGTTTTGATTTTGTTTGAAAGTTTCAGTCGTATCTTAGTTGGTCTTAAACTATCACAGTGCATCATGATAACTACAACGTATGATGGCAATCTTGGTTAATCGCAATGCCATTTTGAAGAGCAATGGGGGTGCGGTTTACGTCCACTATTGTCTACTATAAACCACGATTAATTGTGATTATGCAACGATTAAGCTAAGATTGACAATGCATGGCAGTGTGTTATTTAGTATTTTCATAAATAAACATCATTTTAAAGTTACCAAAGCTAAGGATAAGCATATTTAGCGGAAATTATAACTAGAAAAAATTACTAACACTGTTTTTTTTTTAAATTGTAAGCTCCCTCTGTTGCCATTTCAGCTAATGTTGCATATAATGAACGCGATATTTGTATGTTGTATTTGTATTCCCCCTTCGTATTCAGTATTAGTCAAGGCTGTTAATCATTAAAGGTGCGTTATGTAAGATTTAGAAAAAGAGATATAATAGTTAAAAATAGATAATGAAAAATTAATATATTCAAAATCTCATTAAAATTACTTTATTCTGAGCGAAGTTATCACGGTTTAAAATTTTGACAAAATGTGACATATATTGTTTATCATCGTAACAACGGCACTTGTTATTCGAGACTTCGCCTCGATTCGGCATTTTTAAATTAAATCATTAAATGGCGGGCGCCTTTTAATCCGTTTAAATCTCCACCATCCGATATTCTAGAGAGTTGATTATTGGCTTGTCATGTGAATAAATGTCTAAATAATAGTTTATATGACATTTGAAGCCAAAATATAGAGACCTACAATAGGCAGATTTAACTTTTACATAATGCATCTTTAATGACAATTCTAATAATTATTTGTTAGTTTAATGTTTAATATTAACGGTATAAACAGCTTTATAGTTACATAAACAAAAATCGTTCATTATCCTAATGCAAGGCGTATAATATTTAGAAATAACTGAATTCTAATGAATTATTTACAACAAAATTTATACTCATTTGCCTATCATTTTACTGATCACTTATTATGTGCTTCAGTAATTATCGCAAATAGAAATAAATGTTTAGTCCAAACATACATTGCTTTGGTGTTCTATTTCGGCCATTAAAAATTATGTCGCACGATGCACCATAAAAAAAGCAACGCCACCGTATTAAAAAGCCTTTCGTGAGTGGTCTATCGGGTATGGTAACTTAGGGTAATGATCATCAGTAAAGTCAACAAACTTCTTTTCATATTACATATTTGGTTCTGTCCGGTGGTCAAATTATTATAACGAGTACACATCCGGTTGTGTAATTATGCCATTGTGACGTTACAGGGGTTTGTAAAGTTTTTTTGATCATTGGCAAAATCGTTTTTAGTCAATTTTTACGACTACACTCAATTAATTATGATTTGCAAGGGCTGGATTAAAGGGGGCTGACTGTGTTGCAGCTAGGGACTCCATTGTGACCCTCCCCACAAAAATTAGTTATAAAAAATGTTTTATTGATCATGTTGCATGCTTGTGCCAAATAAATCTATCTACCATACTAACGTACAAATTACATTTGTGTGAATGTGACAGACAATGACGAGCATATCAACAATCACATTTTAGCTGCTTTATGTCTCAGTGCGTCTCAGACTATAATGTTTCCAAGGTGATGAGCCAACATAGAACACCGTACTCTCTCTCCCTCCCCACTCTGATAGTTCCATGTCTGTCTGACCAGCATTCTAACTTGCTAATTAACGCTTTGAATAAAAGCTGATAGAGAACAGTTGGTTAATTTGTATATCGGATAAGAAAATATTTCTTGGACTATTTGTTCCAAGCTGTTTTAGTAAAACATTGAGTTGAAATCTAAAACGAGGAACGATTGTTTGTCAAAATGACAATGTTGACATCGTACAGACCAGTATAGCAACCGCCCCAGTAACGTTCAGCTTCATACAATATGATTACACGAGATTATTGACGTTTATAAAACACGATTTTTGATCTAGTCAAGCTTAATCATTGTTGGAGTTAAAAAAGTCTTTAATAGGACAAAACTGTGCGATCAATAGAGCAATATAGCAGTCCAATAAATTCTAAACAGTGTAAGGAGGGGAGGGCGTATTTCATAATTATCATATTCTTCTTGAAATCGGTATTCAGATTATGTGAACTTATAGGTCAAGTGGATTGTGTGTATTGGTATACAGGTCTGCGTTTTGTGGGGATTATGCGAATTTCATAACCCTACGAATAGTGTAAGAGAAAGAGAGAGAGAGAGTAATGGGGTTTAACGTCCACTCAACACAAACTAGGTCATTTCGGGACTAACATATGGTTTAATTTTGTTTCAATAATTCGCTTGCGCGTAGGGGTCTTTAGCAGTGTGAGGAAACTGGAGGACCCGGAAAAACCCCACGAGGTTGTACAGGCGACCCTACTTCTTATCACGTACAACCGGGGATTCGAAACCACGCCAGTTGACTCAATGACAGGCCTTATGATACAGCGCGCACGTGCTAACCATTCGGCCATCCAACCTCCCGAATAGTGTAGGTGTTTTTAACTGGTACAAAAAGAATTATCATGTATAGAACTCGGTTGTGATAGAAAGTAGATTATTAGGTTAAAAATTCATCTAATTTGGTTTACCAAGTATCTGTTCTTATTCTAATAGAGACCGTTGACAATTGACAGCTAATCATTTTAGGGAACATATTTTCAACTAGTTTCAATTTGTTGGTGCATTGTTTGTTTTCATTTTTCCAAATAATTTCGGACAAATTTGCATATTTATGAAATTTTGTGAATCTTGGTTTGTGTAAATGGGTGTACGGAGTCACGGTCCCTTAGTGGGTAGGACGTTGCCTCCCAAATCTGGAGGTTCCGTGTTCGATCCCTGCGTTGGCCGAGAAAGTTCATCGGGATTTGCCGGCGTGGTGTAGGACGGGAGGGGGGGGGGGGACAACGGTCGGATGGGACGAAAAACCGAGGCATGCAGGTATAAAAGAACCTTTGACAGTTGGTATAAGAGCAGGCCGCAGTGCCGCTGTTCGGGCAAAATTTCCCTCATAACACACTGCATGGCGTAAACTCGTTTTCATTAGCCCAGTCGGAGTAGAACAGTAGGTCGTTACACCTCATTTGACTTCATTCCACTGGTGTAAATCATTTCTCTTTGGTCGATGTGGACCAAGGGCTCCTAGAAGGGTCTAATGTAGAATTTTTTTTTTTTTTAAAAATGTGCCTTAATTAGAAAAATCAATATAGTGAAACCGCAGTACTCGGTAAGGCCAATCATCACCATTTTGATCTCAATGTTCCTAGATAGAAACGGTCTAAGACAATAAAGATCATTAGAAAGTGACGTTTAAATGGTCGTAATTTGAGTTGTGTTTCAGGACCAATGTGCCCTTTGGTATAACTACTTTCTATTTGGGTAGGGGTAAGTTTATTCCCTGTATTCTGTAATACGGACAAAATTTGTATATTGTCCCACTAGATTTATTAACACGCTACACCTCTGTACCAAGGCTTCGTTCGTATCTCTGGTTGTAATTAATTTCTTCCATTGAGAAACTTAATTAAATGACTAACTTTTATTCACAGTTACTGTTTTATTGATCAATAAAATGACAATATTGCGAAAATAATTAGAGAATAAATCATTTTATGTTTTCAAATAATTAAAAATAATAATATTCACTTCAAAGCTTTATAGAAATATAAAATAAGTTAACCGTTAGTCTTAGCGCATGGTTTCAGGCCATAATTATCTTTTAAGTCTGTTGATGAATTTATCCTAGCACAAAAAACGATAAAAAGACCCACGTACAATTCTATTAAAAAAGAAGAAAGAGCCGAACAATTGCGACATTATATTTATGACGTTCCATCGATACAGATGTGCCCCAAGGTGACAGAATAATTGTTAGTCAGTAACGAAGTTTATTTTCAGATCACACGACATTGATAGCAACAACGACCGTGGCTCACTATTAACGGAAAATTGTATGCCATCTATATCCGCCCTGGGTAATAGTCCATTGTTTAAGCTCATGTAGATCGATATTGGGATTATGAAGGGGATGTTTGAATCTGTATGTATTGTGATATTGGGACTTTATCAATATAAGTTTTATCACTAAGCAACGTCCATTGCAGTACCGTAAACCGGTCGATATACAGTTTAACAGCTAATGTAACCATTCTTTACTTAGTCGATATAAAATATTTTTACCTGCGCACGCGGTTGTGTCTCATGTTTGAATACGAGACAGGAGTCAAAGAACCCGAATACACAAGTTACCTAAGGATCCCTGAGGACTTATTCACAGTAGTGATTCGATAGTTTTAGACGATACTTTATCGATTTAAGTGTACATTTTACTGATTAGACTTATTATTACCTGATAATCTGAAGAAAAAAAGAGAATTTAAAAGTTCGGGGTAAAATATGGATGTTATACCAGCGTTCATCCTCTTTTTATTAAGTATTTATTCTCAAGTAGGTCCAGGTTTAGGTGAGTTGACTTTTAAAAACTCTGTATTATTTAATGCCTATATTATAACAGTGAGAACAATCGTTTATAATAGTACCATTTTTTTTAAAGTATTGCTATGGGTCAAAATTCATAGCCAATTAGTTTTACATTTATTTATATAGACGGTGGTTTAAAGACGCCGTGGTCCCAGAGACCTATAGCCTTAAGTCGCGGAGCGGAGACCCCCCCCCCCCCTCTCATTCGCACAATCATCCATATATTTAAATTAAGAAATAAGTTCTGGGTGTTTATGTCATTCACCCTTATTTTATGTGGCCATATATATTAAATCTTAAGAGATCAAAAGAAGGTACACTATCGAAATTCAGAGTCATGCATCGGATTTACACAGTGTTATTCCCTAGTTCATCAAAGCCTTGTAAACGCTTTTATGGCCAGAATTTTTTCCGGGTATATTTAATCAAAATCAGAAGTTACAAAGCGAAAACTGGTTCATGGAGTTTTTTTTAGATATAGGAATTGCTTTCTTGACCGACCAACACCCCATGATGTCCTTGCTGCCTCCCATTACAAAGCTCCCGATAAACATATTTTGGTAACGCTTCTATCCCTAGTTTTATCACTTTTTTCCCATTTTAATTAGAAAAATAATTCAAACGTTTTGCCCCTGTTTTGTAACTTTCTCTATGACATTTCCTTTCATCTTCTGTGTACTTATACGACTCCTCTAAAAAGTGGGTGTATACTGTTACCACCTCTGTCCGTCAGTTCAAAATTCTTTTGTGGACACATAGTAAGGAGCTTTAGACCGAATTCAACAAAACTTGCGAATGTTTATTCTTATGTGATAAAGATGTGTCATGTTTAATATTTAAGATTTTTCCTAGTTTCAGAAATTTCTCGTTCACAAGGTTGGTTGTTTTTCGAAAATAAAAATAAAAGAATTTTTATGGACACTTTGACCATTCTTATAGAAGTTTGTCAGTGTGCTATAATGGAATAGAAAAAAATTCAGATAGCAACGTATAATATGTAACTGAGCTTTTAATTTTTTGGGACTGGGACTGGGCCTGAAAAGTTTAGTCACTTTCCTGGCATTTGAGTTCATCGATTGGAGCAAAGTCTTGTGAGAGTTGACATTAATTTTGTACAGTCTGTGGCACTACGACCCACTCACTAGTGCCACTACACTAACTGGGCGATTCACTATAGCCGTGAATATGATAGTAATAAGACGGTATAAGACCGCGGAATGATGGTAAAATGGAATCGATAACGAAGTATAATATGTAACTGGGCTTTTAATTTTTGGGGACTGGGTCTGAGAGGACTTTGTGCCAGGGGGCGCTTAATTGGTCTAAGAATTGCCATTAAGTAATGATTTATTGTGTAATTTTAGAAAGGAACGTTTCGCAACTAATAATATTATATAGATATGCAGCAATTACTCAATCACAAACTCTCTGACCATTGCGTTATTTTGCCAGAGCATATTATCTCATAAACCACCCGAAACATATGTACGAAACTTTGTACTCACTTTGTAATACACATCTTCCTATTAGATATAAGGCATTCTATATTGATCTTCGGCACTCGATTCCAAGAGAGGGGTCATGTCCTGGTAAAAAAACCCTTATGATACTTGTGGATGACAATGCTGCAATAATTATATTCCATATAATTGTGAACTGTTTATTTCTATTTCAATTACTGAAGGACAGTAACCTCTCCCCCGAATTCTTAAACCTAACCAATACCTACAGCCGTTACGAATAACCAATACCGTTAAGTCAAAAGAAAGCATTAAGGTATTAGGATTAGTGATGCGGCAAGCTATAATAATCAATTAAAATTTTGTTGCAAGATATAAAGTGGATGTCAAGATGTTTACAAATATTAATTTCCATTTTGGCTTACTGAATCGACAGTGGCTCATAATATCGTTCATATCTTAACATTGGATTTATCTATAAATTTAAACGTTTCGTCTAGTAAACCAAATCAACGCAATATCCAATAAAATCGGCCATTTTAATCAAGTAACATATTAAAAGTAACATTTTACATTCGATATTAACGATAATTTGGTATTTTCCTTTACATCCCTTTAATTTGACCACACTTCCTCAAGCTATTGTGCTGCATTTGGAAATAAAACTTTGATGAAAACTTATATGAACTCTAATGTACGAAATTTAGTCGTTAAAATACCATTGTAGATACCAATGGAAATTTATATTTATATAATATAATACCCATTTCATTTTATTTTTGACATATGCGAGGAGTGTATAGTTTTTGCGACCACTTTGCATTTAGAAGCCGTGGATTTTGTGACAAAGTCCTCCATATACCTTTTATCAAATTTAGACTATATTGTATCATAGAAAATATTAACATTGATTTAGATGCACTTAACCCACTGAACCCCACCTGTTTTTGATGGTATATGACATAAGCATATATTTCGTGTTTTAATTACAGACATGTTATTGACAATACTGTTCATTAAATAGAAATCACACAGTCAGCTATACGATAACATCTGGTATATAAAACTCCATGTATAGTGATGACATTGTGTTTTAGACCCAGTTCCTTATAAGATGTTAGTATCCATTTTCATACCTGTCTGAAGACATGTAAGACATGTATTTTCTGTAGTTAAAGAGACTTGGTTATGAAGAGACTAAAAAGGGAGACTTGGAGCGGAGAAGAGCTGAAACGAGCTTATGGACCCACCCAAGTCCAGTCGCTGCCTTGCCGGTGGGAGGGAGGGGGTCAATTTTTGATGTATGGTCCTTTGTATTTATGCTACTGTTTCCTATTCTGTTCCTGATGTAAATAAATCCTATTTTTACGAAACTGATAACATTTTATATGTAGTGTTATGATTTGCGAAGAAAAGGCTCGTATGATTTTTAATAATCTTTATTCAACACCACTTATTTGCGAAAAAGAAAAGACCTCAAAAAGAATGAAACAAAGAACTGTTTTTAAAATCGATATTTATTGTTTCAGTTTTATTTAACTTAGAACAAATATTGATCAAATTTTGTGAAACTGCAAGAAAATCAATTACGGTTATTGAAGTACTAGCAGCATCACTTCTAATATCAATTTTATTCAACATTCCATGTCATAAAAAGGCGATAAAAAACAACATTAGTATCTAAAAAAAACCAAGACAACGATATATTGAACACATTGAATACAATGACATTATCTGTGCTTAACATCGCAATTGTTAGAACTACTTGAATAATATTAATAATCCTTTGCCAAACAATACATATTCAGGTTTAATAGAACCAAACCAGTTAAAGTCTCAAACCGAGGCTTCTGAACTCTTGACAAAAAAACGTACTTTAAAAATTCCACCAAGTAGGATGTTAAACCTAATTTCATCTCATTTTCATTTCTCAATCTCTTGTCAACCATGTTTTTAAAGTAAATAAAATTGGTCGGTTTCAGAGTATTCTCAACGATTGACTAAGTAAACAACTAAAATGTCCCCAAAGCACGTCAATCGATTTCAGATAATTCCCAAGAATTGAAATGAACAATATAAAACGCCCAATAAACCACGTTAATCCGATATAGGATTGTCTTCGACCAAAATGTTTCATTCCGCCACCAGTGTACAATAAAATTAACTGTACCACTTAATTTATACCGTTCGATGTATTGAACTAAATCACATTTCCGTGGATAATATCATTTTAAAGATAAAAAAAAAAAATATCCAGAAAATTATTTTTTGCAAATTTAATTTTCATTTAAAGCAGCGAAATTGTAACATGTGTTACAACTGATGTGATGATACAATCAGTAATGGGGAAAACGCCATTTGATTAAATTTTCTTTTCAGCGAATATCCACAGACTTAATATATCCACCTTTAAAAATAAATCATAATCGTAATATATTTAATTTGACCACTTTATTAATCGCCCAAAATAAAGAGATCTAATTATTTAAAGTGTGTCGAAAACATAATTTTGTCCTATAAACTTTAACAACATTACAATAATTTGAACTTTGTGTTTGATCATCCACATCTCTCTTGAAAATGACAAAATCAAGATTGCCTTTGAATCCAAAAACCTCGTAGACTACAACGCGATGATAATGCTCCCAATCTGGTTAAAATACAGATCCTATTTCGTTTCGTTTTTATAGTTAAAACTACACTAGGATATGGAAGAGTTGTTATCATTGACCTGTTCTGAATGATGTGAACTATTAGCCAATGAACGGTCTGTTAGGCGAGCTTTAGGCGTGTTTTGCACGGAACTGTGGGTAATCCAGTAGTAATATCAATGCTGATTGGTTAATCAAATGTCTGACGTCATAGGGTCAAAAGCGCTCGTATGACCTCTAACGCGTTCTATCGCTACAAACGGTGAGATCTTCGTGTAGTGTAGGTCATCGAAACTATAAAAAAACGAAATGAAATATAGATCTGTATTGTAATCAGATTGCTAATGCTCCAGAAACCTTCGACTCATGGCGTATTTACAACTGAGTGAGGGTTTCTGACATTCTTTAATATTTTCTATTGATTTTTTATAAATGATAAACAATATCTAAAGATACGATATTACTAATTATCTAACCAATTATTTTGTTTTTCAAAAGATCAGATTATTAAAATCTTCCCATCTCATTCGTTACCTTCTGAACCATTACAATAAGTATTTTGAATACTAATTTTATTTTTTTAATAGGTCATGAACCGTATATACATTCCATACCTATCAAACGATAAACTATATTCAAATCGAACTGTATTTTTGACTTTTGACTTAAATCGAACGGCTTTGTCCTTTTTAAAATACACAATTTTCGAATATCGATTTCATGGATGTCTGATAAAAACAAAAACACCATTCAATTAGATGAAAACGTCAATAATCTTATTTCCTCGATTCATGTATGATTGTAAATGTATTTATTTAGTCTCTTATTTTTCTAAAGGAATGAGTTGATAATTTCGAACAATTAAAAACAAT